TATTTGAACATGCTTGGTCATTCCTTTATACATTTTCCCTATGTTTTATGTGCTTCAGTAATTATGATAAGAAGACAGAAATTGCCATACAGTACTAGCATTGCAAAGCTGAATCCATCTCCCATCCGGAACAGTTAAATAGAAGAAGGGTATTAACTGTGTTGCTGTAGTACATTAAAAGATTGGGGGAGTGGGAGGCAGTGTATAGGGGCAGGAACATATCATCCTTAATGGGTAATCCTAGTCCAGACTAATAAATGATTTACAATTTTGTCACATAGCATCGGGTGAGGCGCATCAAGGATGTAACGTTTTGGAAGCAAGTAGTTTGTTTCCCCTATCTCTGCTGCATATTTTGGGGATAATATTCTGTACATTACGCAGAGTGAAGAATTGGATGCTTCAGTTGTAGTCAGTTACCCAGTAGGCACAATCAACTAATGCTTGAGGAGCCTAGACTGATTTACTTTATTTATATGATTAGTATCTGTCTCCCTTCCTCATTCTTCTGTAGTGGAATCTTCATTGGGCCTTCTAGTAATCTAAAACGGAACAGCTGAATCTAACTGCTTCTCTACTGTGCTGTGAATACTGCCTAACTCAGTATATTGCTTTAATAAATACCAACAATCATTAACACAGATATGTTTAACGAAGGGTAGAGCAGAATATGTTTTTTAAATAAGTTAATCGCCTAAAGCCAGCCAAGCAATTTTTAAAATTAGTGTAATAGAATTTAGCCCAATCAGCTTATTCTGTCCGTAGTTAGTATAACTTCTACACCATGGTCAGGAGTTCATATTGGCCTACTGAGTCAATGTTTCTATTTCCAAACAAAAATTCTCTGTCTTAAGAAATGAAGCAAAAATGTTCATCTCTATTGAACATACAGTATTTTCTTGAATCAGTTACTGACTTAAGCCATGCATTTAAGATTTGCCAGTCTTGCAGTTATCTATATTACAGAATGAGCAGTAATTACACCTGTGGTCTGATCCATTATTTTAAACTACAAACTTAGCTTGTTCCCTGAGTTTTACGCAATAACATGCAGCTTAAAGTAGAACTTTTTAGAATATGTTTCCTTTGTGGTTATACAAAGGATATTGATGAAGGAGGAATCACTAATAACTTTAAGTATTAAAATACATACATACATACATACATACATACATACATACATACATACACACATATATATGTATGTGTGTGTGTGTGTGTGTGTATATATATATATATATATACACACATACATATAATCTTTTAAAAAGTTAACTTTTAAAAGATTATTTTGCCACTCACTGTAGATTTTTGGTCACATTTGCAGCTGAGGCACTTTCTCTAGGGCAAGTTTTGTGTGTTATACTTGACTCCATCTCTTTTCTTTTTTCCCAACTCAGCAGCCTGTTTTTTACAGGGTATAAGTTTTCCTTTCATTGGTAGTGACCAAAGCATTCCCTTTGATCCAGCTCCTATAGTTTTAAATAAAGCATGAGTTAGATTACGTTTTGCTATTCTTTCTCTTCCAGAGAAGCTTCTAGTTTACATATCATTCAACAATTCCCTTGTACTTACATAATTGGTATTGTCTGTGTCCATAGTAGAGGACACTTGATGCTCATTTATTAAATATGCTTGCTGGCTGCTCCCTAATCTTTGTTCTGGACAGACAAATTACCTTTCGCACACTGAGTATCAACTCTGGGGAATTAAACCTCCAAGCTTCCACCAGTTTAATTAGCTTGAAAGTGGGGGGTTGCAGTTACTAATAGACCTCAGGCTTTTAGTAACTTCAAGGAAGGATAAAAAAAAACTTCTTAGGAAATTCAAAATGTCATTTAAAAACCATAAAAATCTAATATATTATTTCATTTTCATAATTGCAAACAGATTGCATTTGAAAACTGTCGATCGTTTCTACTTTATCTGTGGAAGTTAGATTTCTGTCGAGCTAGGCATTTTTAATTATCACAATTCATTAACACATCACAGTGGAGGCACATGTTTGACTTCGTATATTACAGAGTTTATGTAACATTAACTAACGTAGCAGATGAGGAATCTTAAATGGAAGGAAAATATTCCAAAATGTCTATATTTAGTTTTTGTGCTATGCAGCATGCTAACTACCGTTGCCTAGGGGAGGGTATCTTATATGCTTTGACAGAATTTTTTTCCTAATTTAGAAGATCACTTTACTTGGTTCTTCAAAGGAAAGGCATGTCATTTAATCCCAGTCCAAAGGAAATGCATCTTTTGTAAAAGAAATAAAAAGAGACTGTAGGATTTCTCACTCGAAGCATTTTCCCCCTTTGGTGAAAGTATATCTTGCTGTCAAACTGCAGAAAATATTTTTTTGCGGTCTGTTTCTCCATTTGAACTCTTTAGGGACTTGGATGCGTATTACAGAAAACCTTTAATCGAGTCACAGTTGGAATCTAATTTAATAGAATAAGCGAATCGCAAGAAGACGAAAGCAGTCACGTTCAGCTCAAATCAAGCATTTTAGCTAAGATGCCCCTTTTTATTTCTTGCAGGTCTGCTAAAAGATCAGAGTACTGCAGAATGCGTGCCTTCATCTCAAACTTTGTTCATCACAGATGGATCCCATGTCTCCAGTAGACAAGTCACCTTTGTAGCTAGCATCAGTGCCAGCTCCATGCCATTGCACCTTCTTTACTCTTGATTGCCCTTCTCACATTTATCGGTGTATTAAAATGACTGAAAATGAACATTAAGAACTCCATGAATCTGGGCTAATGGGAGACTGTAGAGAAAAATGGAGGGAAAAAAAAAAAAGATCCACCGGAGGAGAGAACAACTTTGGGTGGGCAGGGTGGGGACAAATGACTAATGAAGCTAATCCAGATAAGCTTTCAAGTCTGCTTTCTACCCTCATTAACAATTAGCAGGGCACTGGTGAGAATTTGTACCCTGTGTTTTACCTTAACAGCATTCTCTTTGCTCTTTGTATAATTTACGTGTTGTAGGAAATGTTCAAAACTCAAACCTGAGCTAATGGAAAGATGGGGCTCTTGTGATAATCTATCACAAATACTTTTATTGTATCTCTGTAAAATACAAATGTATGTATGCATGTAAGTGTGTTTTGTCCTAATGTTGCTACTTCCCATGACACAGAAAGAAAAAGGAAAAAAAAAATCAAGCTCATAGCAACAACTGTAGAATTTTCATCTACTCCTAATTTGCTGAATGAAGAAGAAAAATCTTTTATTTGTGATATTTTCAGAGACATTTGCTCTAGTATGGTGTATTTAAATAATAAAAAACTTAAAATGAAAGGAACCGTAATTGATTTTGGACTATAGTACAATGGGGCAAATTTCTATCAAAGGATGAAGTATGTCATAAGTTAATTTTTAAAACCTGGTTTTTCCTGCTTCCCAGTAGCTCTATGGCAAAAAAGGAATGCATTGAAATCTATACAAAGAGATAGTGATAGCAGTGATACCAAATTCAGAAGTGATGTCTAATGTATCAAGGATTTATTTCTATGACAGTAATGTTTAATGGCAGGTAGATTTAACTAAAGAATTTTGTGCTCCCTTCACTTAAGTCATTTAATTTTCATGAATGATAGTAAACGTAGGTCTATCCTAACGTTATTAACTTGCTAACTCTAATAATTTTTATGTGAATTCAAAAGCACATCTAGGAATTAGGGTGGTTTCTAAGATGCCAAGTTACTCAAAAGTGTCCTGGTTATGAATATTCTGTTTAAAATGTCTCATTCTGTAGCAAAACATCCTGAGAAAAGAATAACACCTCACTTATTTTTCTGTTTTGAAATAGCCCTCTCCTCCCCAATTATGAGTACTGTTTCAGTGCTGCATGAGTGCAAACTCTTTTCACTGCTTTTCCAAGATGCATATCTATTTTTTTTTATACTCAGTGAACCTGACAATCAACTTGGTGCATACAGAGATATACTGTACGTAATCCATATATATCCAAGACCATAGAGCAGTATAGGAAATTCAAGGCAAGTGTACAAAAGCTGCTTGTAATTAAAGTCTTGTATGTTCCCCTTACAAAGTCCCCAAATGAGAAATAATACTTCAACTACGGTATTGGAGTTGCTGGTTTATAGCATTAATGAAATGGCTAATGAATTGGCTTTAATTGGCATTTCCCAATCAGTTTTTAGGTGTGTGGAATTCTGGGAGCTGAAGTCCACATACCTAGAAATTGCCATGGTTGGGAAACAGTGGCTATCCAATGTCCTGAAATTTGTCTTTTGTGAGGAAATGTAATGAAATAACATTTCATTTCAGTACGTGGTTAAAATGGAACAAAACTGTTTTTGGCTTTTGACATGGTATAACGGCATATTTTGTCTGTACTCCTATAAATGTTTCCTTTCAACAACAACAATATACTAATTTTTATATAGGTAGGAATGAAAGATTCTTGCCATAGCTGAAAAGTTGCCAAATGTGATCTGAAATATTCTTTATAATTATGGATAAAAAGTGTCCTTCAAGCTGAATTTCATTTTGGTGATTTCATAGATACGTATCTAATTTCATACAGAAACAATTTACCTAAAACATATCCACACTACATAAGATTGGCAGAGTTTTTTTAAATCAATAAATGTCAATAAATCAATAAAAAGTTCTGAATGTTAACTAGGAGATGTAACATGCAGAGTTCTGGCTTCATTAAATTTCGAATATCTTCTTCATCACCACCACCACAAAACAATTCAAGGATAAGATAGGTTGTCCCAAAATAACAATGTAATACATGAGTAATTTACAGTCTAAAATTATGGTGGTGCTTGATGTTGATTTGCCTGTAAGACGGTTTTGTGTAATCGTGATCCATGCAAACTGAGGAAGGACATAAATTTTGAATTCCAAATGCATTCCTGGTAAATATTAATGTTCTCTAGAGTAAGAAGTATTGCATCATTTTATTTCTGGCTAAGAAGATACATGCACTTGAGGCTCCAGGGTGAAACTCTAAAAATAGGAAAAGCTAACTGCAAATTCATTAAAAGTAAAAGATTTTAATGTACATATTTTAATTTTGATCAGAGCAATAGTTAAATTTATTGTACTTCCTGCAGAGTCCACTCAAACATTGGCCTAGTTTGGTTGTAATGTCCAACCATGATTTAGTACTAAATGTCTGAATTTGGGGTATTCTCCCCTGATTTCCAAATGAGCCAGTTAAGGAAATTTGAATATGGGAGATGAAGATGGAAAGTGATTCTGTGACTCCTTGTATTGCCAAACAGACTGTATTTTCAAGCTAAGCAACTTTGTCCTATCTGCAAATTATTGTGCTGCCTTTTCTAGCACACATACACACACACACAAACAAACACAAAACTCAATATATGAAAATAGTTTTGGTCAAAATCCTGAGGCCAAGTAATAGCTTGCAAAGGTGTTTTGCATCCCAAAGCAAATCCCAAATACATTTCCCTAAAATGTTGGAATTAGTAGAAATGTGCTGAAAAGTTATTTTGGGATAGCATAATCTGTATTCCAGCTGGGGAAAATGCTACTTTTAAAACTCATTTTTTTTCTGTATATACGCATTTATCATTCTGCTGTTGCAGTTAAAACATGCTAGGGTTAGGTTTTTTTTTAAAAAAAAACACTATTGTGTGATATAATCTAGACGTACTAGAGGATGACTAATAACTTTCAATAAACCATAGTGTGGCATTAAGCAAGAAGAGACTGAAGTTCGTTAAAGACTTCAAATAACCTTTTTATGTGCCTAGTTCTTAAAGCACTGCTACCTATATAATAGAAAGCTTAAAATGCTGTCTTAAATTGCAGACCTTATAAGATTACAAATGTCTCTTGTGTTAGCATAATCCACATGCAAGTGATAAAGTCTGTGCTTTGATGTGCTAAATTGGAGAAGGATTCTTGGGGCTATGAATATATATATGATGGAACGTCTTTAACTAGATTGGGATAAAGCATGACAGAAACCACAGAACTACGAAACAATAAAAACAGGTCTTCATGGTGAGGGAAGGTTCTAGCGCGATGTGGTATTAGGCAAGACGGTTTGGAAATTTGGTCCTCTATAATTTGCAGCCGGAAAAGTAATTTTGACATGCTTGCTCTTTGTCCATCATTTCTTCCTAATTTAGTGTTGCTTAGAGAGATTTGAACTGCTGCTCCCATCATTATCGCGTAGTATAGCCATGGGTGAATGTATATGAGTAGGACTCCATCGCAGCTGGTGAGCATTAACTTAGAAAAGTGCATTTGTCACAGCCTCTCTCTTGAATCTGCTATGTATGTATAATAGATGGATTCATCCATAGCCCTATAAACATGTAGTTAATTCAGCAGGATCTATTGCATTAAAAATAGTTGGAACTCACACACACAAACTCAGAATAAATTGTACCACTGTGAAAGCATTCTTGTATGTAGGTACAATTGTCATATTAGTTTTATGCAGAAATAGTAAAGTTATTGTTAACTCTTTAATGAACTAATTCTGCAAAAGGGCTGCTCTAGCAAATTTTACATATCCAGTGTTCTGGTGATTTCTGCATATCCAACAGGCATGGAAACATTTAAACTTCTCCAAGCTAAATTCTGTATTGAATGAAAGGCTATTTTTCTGTGCTTCAGAATTCTTTAATTAGATTATATTATACATTATAAAAACAATCATTCATACCCACACACAAAAAGGAAAAAAAGCATTGCCTTTAAAAGTAAGGTAAAGCAGTTACAAGCTATTTTCAGAACTTGTCTTAAATCTTCATAAGAAGTCGCAAAAAGAGGAAATTGAGCAAGGAAGGTAGGTAATTTTCCAAATTGTAACAATTTTGTAGTTTGGGTTCCATCTATCAATAGTTGTGCCCTTACATTGCCAAATCAATTTTTCCTGTGTGCCAACGGCTCTTAATAGGAAAAAGTTCTTTGCCTTGCCTTTAAAATGTTAATAACAAGGCAATGGAAGATTGGCTATCCGTGTTAAACATTTACTATTTGGGTTTAAAAGACTAAAATTCTTAACAAAGAAAGCTTTATAATTTACTGGCAATTAGATTTATCATAATGATTCAAAAGTTTGCAAGATTCCAGTGCCTGAGAAATGTATTTCAAACAGCACTCGTTTAATAAAGATGAGGAATGAGATTACGGTGTGCGTAAGATTTCTTTATGCAAAAAGCTTCAGTATGTGACTATCTTGGCTTAGATCATTATTTGCTCCTCTGTGTCTTGATGTCATTGAACAGAAAGTCCCCGGACTTCTATTGTCCTCTTTTCTTTCGGGTGCACGCATGCATTGTTAGTCTGGCTTAGCTGTAAGAAAATTTATTACAGTTAAGTGGCAATTTGTTGCCATGAAACTGCAATTAAAGTATTACAGAGCAGCCATTTTAGATTAACACACATTCAGAGCATGGGCAAGCACAGAACAGCTCTTGTTATCTTTACAGCATCTGAGCTCTGCATAACTGTAAAACTGTGACATGTTCACCTATGTCTTTTGTCAAGTTAAAGAATTTGAGCTCTCCGTGGAGCACCGTGATCTCATCACAAGCATAACGAAGAGGAAAGACAAGCTGGAACTGATTTTTTTTTTTTGCAAGTTCAACCTGTGATGTATAAAGTTATTACCATATTTGGAGGCACTGTGAGTGCCTTGCTGGAGAGAGAGGGGGTAGGAGAACATTGCTTGTTTTAACTCCCCTGGGGATACGTATGCATTGGTAAAATGGACTGCGGGCTCTGGACTTGGATGACAATAATATCCTCAGATCCTTACATGTTAAAAAGCCTCTTTAACAGAACTCCTGTTATCCCTAATCACAACTAAATGGAATTCACGTATGCATATGGTCTAAAGTTAATGCCCCAAACAGATCATGCATATTTAAAACACACAAGAATTTTTTTTAAAAAATCTCTCCCTTCATTTCCAGCAGAAAGTTGTATATATCTTACTTTTTTGTAAACTGCCCAGAGTCTCTAAGTGTGAGTGGGCAGCCATATACATTTTTTCTAAATAAATACATTTTCTAAATAAGTAAATAAATAAATATCTTGATTGATTGGACATAGACCTTGACTATAAGCAAATGAGTTTGGGAGTAAATTCCACTGAAGCAAAAGACTTCCAAATAAAAGTATGCTTCTTCTCATTTCAAAGTGATACTTAGAGCTTAGACTTAGAATAACTTTATTGTCACTTTAAATGTACACTAATTGGTATACATTAAAATGAATTTTCATTGCATACAGTTCTCTAAGGGTCACTACCTCCAATATATACTACATAAATATGA